TAATAAGACTCAGCAAGAAGGTGGGCAACCAGGAAGCGGACAGACTCGCCAAAGAGGGGGCTAGGGGAGAAGCCATGGCCGTTGATGTGGTAACAGCTTGTGGACTGGGTTACAGCTCGAAGACTGTGGCCAATGGTTGATAGCAAAGAGATTATGCAACTACTAGAGTACAAAAAAATCTAGTATGCATAATAGTACGTGTCGTCACTGAAAACTATTCCACTGGGTAAACCTCGTGAGATGGAAGATTTCCATTTTTTCGTTCTGTGTCACTGTGCGGCACTGGAAAACTGACGCTACAAAACCTTAGGGCACGGTTTTTTGGAGGGTCTAGAGGAAGCATCAGAAGCCAACATCGGCGACATTGAGTACATTGCAAAGAGTTGGAAGTGTATACAATAATACAGGGGTATCGCAATGGGCCCAAGGCCCTCGAGTGGGGCATCAAAAAATCCAGCATCCCAAACCCCAGTAAACTAACCTAACTTCAAATTCACGTCGTTCTCTATAACAGTTAACAAGAAGCTTAAATTTTGGTTTATCGGGTTTGGACATCTTTATCTAAAATTAGAGAAACTACCCTTATAAAAATGTAACATACGGTATGTAGAGAGCATATTGGGAATGTTTTTATTTTATAACGGAAATTATATTACATCGAAGAAAATAATTACTAAAGAGATAACATACATCAGATTTGTTAATAGTTATATTTCTAAAAAACTGGTTTGATCCAGTGTTTATTAATCTGTTATCGACTGGAAAGAAAGATTAACTAAAATATTTACATATTAATGTTGATCAATATTTTTAATTTTTATAGGAAACATTAACAATAAGTAATAATCTTACATTTTGATTGTGCGTAAATATAGATTACATTGGTTTCGGAAATCAAAATTTTTATTTAGTATATATAGACTAAACTAAATAATAATATAATCTTGGTCATGTAAGTTACTAAGTTGTATCCTTGTATATGAATTTTTAAAGTAGCTCAACCTAAGACGTTTAAGGATGTAAAGCACCAGATGGCGGGGCGTATTTCACAGTCTTTTACTACAGAAAAATATTTTTTGTTACTCTGAATTTTGAAGCGACCAATAAAAAGAGAGAAAATAAAAATCGATAATTTTCGGACTGTGCCAATTGGTTACTAATCGACCAGATACTTTTTGTCTATTAGATATGCTATAAAGCTGGTAATTATACAATTCGACCATTGTAAATACCCGACAAATTTCGCAAGGCCGACGAGGCCGTTGCTTCTCACTGATAAGAAAAAAAAATGTTTGTTTAGATAATTTTCGAGATATTTTTTCTTTCTGAATGCACATTTTTAAAGTATTTTATATTATTTGTCCGCTTGATCTATTATACTGGTTGCACGTATCGAGGTTCTGTTTCTTCTAGTTTTAAAAAATGTTCTTATTTCTTTGTAGTTGTAGTGGTTGTTGTGTAAAATTAGATTAATTTTATTAAGTTTAATTATAATGTTTAGTGTAGAATACCAGAAATAGTTTAGTAGTGTTTTTATAGTTTATTATTTTGCAGTTAAGTAGTAGGTGAAGGTATAATTTGGTTATTTTTTCTTTTTGTTTGATTAATTAGTAAGTTTGATAATTTTTTCAGTGCAGAAGTGGTTGAAGTAGCGAAGAAGTAGTTGTGTAGTGTTTTTATAAGAGATTATATTAGTTTATTTTGTAGATGAGTAGTAGGTGAAGGTATTTGGGTATTTTTTCTTTTTGTTTTTCTTCTAATTGTAGTAATTCTATTAAGTATTGTGATAGATACGCTATATCTTCCTTCAGCTTCGTTGAAAAGTGCGTTATCATATAATTTTGGTTTTCTGGTAGTAGAATATACGAAAAAAAAATCTGATCAAATTTATTTTAAATTAAATTAATCGAGTTTTATTAATCAAATTAATCTAGTCAAATAATAATAATAGTTAGTTTCTAAATACTATACAGGGTGTTTTATTTATATTTCTACGATGTTCTCTATGGGTACCTCGGAAACTACTGGAGATAGAGAGTCGGTTAAATGGGGGAAAAATTGCAGTTTTGTGGGGTCATAAATATGCGCCTTTCGGATTTTTCGGAGAGATTGAAGGCTTACTAGATATTTCGAAAAAAACATTTTGGCTATTTTAAAACTTTGTCTCTAATTCCATTATAATCTACCGTATGATCGAATAAAAACGGCGTCAACGATGGCTATGAAATGAAGATCGCTGTCATTTTATACCTATGTAAAATTATATGGGAAATATCATCGATCGTCATTTCATAGCCATCGCTGAAGCCGTTTTTATTCGATCATACGGTATTTTAGACAAAAAGTTTTCAGATAAAAGTTGTAGATAATCACATACCTAATGAGTTTGTGTTTTGTGTTTCTTTTCTAAAACCTGTCATTTTTGACATATGACACAAACATTATGTTTTTTTTAAATGGAAACCATAGTTGGCCATGACTTCATAAAAACCGCCATTTTTTAAGCTTTTCAGCGATATAGGTATAATATGTTTTTTTTCGAAAAATTACAAGTTATAGCCAATTCCTTTCTTTCTTGGCTAATTTCCATACCAATAATACCATGCCAATTAGTTGGCATCAAAAATGTAAAAAGTTTCATGTTTTCAAAAAAAATATCATAAGATTCGTAAAGCACTCAATTTAGAATAAAATAATCTAAGAATGAAATGATTCTTTTATAAACCTGCATTAAATCAAATTAAAATAGGTATGTAACTTTTTTTTTAAATATTAATTAACAGCAATTAGCATTATCATAAATTATAAATAATGTACCAACATATCGAAATAATGATTTCTTTGTTAATACGGTTTAGAATTCTTAAAGTAACAGACAAAAATAATCCACAATTTACAATAAAATAAAAGTTTCGTTTAAATTTCTTAATCAGCTGATCACTATTAAAGTTCGCAGAAACGCTGGGCTATATTATTACATTACTCTGAGGAAAATAACGAAAATAATCGATATTTTTGACTCCGCCCCGAAAGGTTCACGATTTGTCCTCCAGTTGGCAGCACATTTTGTCTAGTCGGTTGGGCAACTTTAAGAATATATAAACAAGGGTTGTATCTACTAACTTACATGACCATAACCCCAAGATCATACAATATGATCGAAAAAAAACTGCGTCAGTGATGGCTATGAAATGAAGATCGCTGTCACTTTATATGTAAAATTATATGGGGAATGTCATTGATGTTTATTTTCAAGCGAACTGGACGCCGTTTTTATTCGATCATAAGGTACAATAAGATAAAAAAAAACGGCGTCAGCGATGGCTGTGACATGAAGATCGCTGTCATTTTAATAATAATAATAAGTGTCTTTATTTAGTATCAATGAAAAACAAATTAAAAAAAAAGTTTAACTTAAGATGCGGCGAGATCTAGCACACTGCTACTCCATCTAACCGCACTATTAGGTATAAGCTTAAGAGTCCATTTCACTAGTCCGAAAGAGTAGCAAAATAAGCGTTCGGCATTTATTTAACGTTTTATGTAAAACTGGCTAGGTATTTTTTGAGTAATGAAGAAGGAAATTGAAGATAATTATACTATATCAAGGGCCACGTTTTGGTTACTTGGTACCCTAGGCATCATTTATTTTGCCTCCTCCTTCAACTAATAAATCAAGTTTAAGTTTGTTATTTAAAAATGCCGCACCCTATCAGCCTGCCGCCCTAGGCCTATTTTGCCTAATGGATAAACCGGCACTGACATCATTAACGAATAGTGAGTATGGGGTTAAATCTGCGCGAGTCAAAGAATACGAATCGACGAAAAGGTTTATGTAACGTTTGTGTAGTTTCGTCTAGGCTTGGTCTCAATCGAACTACAAACCGCAGAACAAAACAGGACAACTGCTTTGTGTCATTCAGCGCTGAAAAATTTCTTTATTTTCCTTAATATCCAATAATAGGGACTTCTCGTAGCAATTCTGGTTTATAATTCATTTCGTAAAGCCAATACTACTGCCGCGAAACCGTCCCATTACAATGTGATAATATTTTCTAGATAATCTACATCTATTCCAATTATACTTAGCAATGTATATGTTACGGTTAAAATCCGATGTCCGGTTAATGTCGATATTAACATGTTAATGTTTGGGTTAGGTTATGTTTTTGGTTGTTTTGTTGTGTGTTATTCTCGAGATTAACTAATTATTATTATTATTATTAACTAATTAATATTAAATAACACATTGAGTAATTTATTTTCAGGAAAATCTCTAACTATAACTCTTTATCTCTACCATATATACTTATTACAACAAACTAAACTAATATTGTTTAAAAGGTTTGTTCTTAACTTGCTTAACGGACATATTACATTTTGATATTTATTACTTTTTGTCATGGTAACTATGATATTATAGCGTAATTGTATTAAAAAAATACAAGGTATAAATACAAAATCTACATATATAAAATGCTAATGTTTATCTGTGTCGTCTCTACTGAAGTAACGAATTGCTCTAGAAAGTTGCTTTTTTTACTAAAAGTCGTCGCGGGATTTTTTGTTTTTCATTTAATTAAAAAAAAAGTATTTTTTTCCTGATGTGGCGAATGCGCCAGGCTTCAACTAATATCGCGAACTATTAAAAATAGGTATATGATATATACTTGATAAAAGTTAAAGAGTTTTGTAAAATCTCTCAGGAAAAATAATAATTTTAGGCAAAATCTAAAAATAAAAAAATAGGTTGTTGCATTTAAAAAAAAACATACGTTATATCTGTCACAAATTTTTGAACCACTCTCTATACTCCGTAACAATTTTAAGATATGTATCTTAACCTTTCCTATAACCACAGAACTTTAATATTTAACATTTTTTAAACTTCAAAATAAATGAGAAAATGGATTTTACTCTATCGTTGCCTCACCCTGTACATACTTTCATTTAATGAATAATTAAGGTTTGGAATATACTATTACAAACTATATTTTTAATTTTTTGCCATACATTTAATTTCTGGTATCAATAATCAATAAGATCAATAATACCTATATTGTAAAAAATATTTTGGTTTGTTGTTGCTTTTTTTATATACATAATTTTATATCGTTGTATATTCGAGCTGTACCAATTCAAAATTTTCATCATCAATAATTTTAACGCCATACTTTTTGTCTAAGTTACAAAGTATTTTAGCAAACATTTTTCCATATACTCTTGGAATTTTTCTTATATTAGCAATGTCTGCCAAATTTTCGCAGTAATCTAGTTGTTCTAGTGCTATAAAATGGGTCATCTTTTTAGGCAATCCCTTATCTTCTCTCTTCTTTACTGCCTGATTTAAATCTTCATACATTTCTTCTTTTGATACCTTAAAATGGCCTTTTAGAAGAGCCAGGTAAAATCGAATCTAAAATAAACAAAAAACAAATATGAAAAAAAACTTATTCTTTTTATAGTTTACCTGAATCGAATACAAGGTAAAAGTAGAAACAACAAGCGTAATATTGACTATTGCCATCGTAGGATGTTCAATATTAATAAAGTGTTTGTACAAAGGTTTCACCCAGCCATCGTCTACAGTTATTCCACAGTTTTTGCTTAAAAATGGGTACGAAGGATAGTAACCTACAAGCAAAATTAAGCTAGATCAATGAAAAAGGTTGGTTCATAGTCATTTTTAGTACCTAAAATATGTAGCAACAAATATACATATAATGATTATTGTGTTGTTCCCAGTCATTAGTACGTAGAAAACAAAATTCGTTGGTATTGGGACGGCTCAAAAGAAACAATTATAATTTGTGCGTCATTATTGTCGCTTCTTCGAGCAACGAAACAACCTGAAGAATCTGAAGAAGCAACAATAAAGTCGTGAAACATCGCACAGAATATAATTGATTCATTTGAGCCTTCCCAATACCCACGATGTTTTTTTTACAAAAGATAATGTTTGGAAATGTGGGAGGAATACTTTGTATTTATCTTAATAATATATTTAATAAAATAGTAATATTTTTCAATTTTTCTAGATTTTTAATATTCAATACGAAATAAACCAAAGTTAGCTATGACTGTTAGACAAATGCTTATTTTAAATATTGGGGCATTTGGATATAAAAATCCCAGGGATATCAGATCTGACTATAATATAAAATATTTACCTCACATCATCTACATACCTGTGCAATAAATGACTTCGTCTATATCTTCTTCGGTTCCATCCACAAAAATTACTTTGCCTTCCTTAAATTGGGAAACCCTAGGTTTAGTTATTACTCCTTCAGCGGGTGTACCATAAAATAATTTAGAAAAACTAAAAACCACCTAAAATTATTTTTAATTATTAGGAATGAAAATATAAAAATAACCTAATTATAAGTTGTTATGATTAAAGCAAAGGGTTTCTGTTGAGAATTATTTTCCACCCATTAAATAAAATAAAATTGTCGCATAAGAAATTAATAATACCAATCAAAATAGAAAATCCAAACCAATCCAAGTTTATTTTTTCTTCAGTCGCAGTACCTTTCGGCGAAAATTTAATTTAAGTCTAGTAGGTACTTTGTTTAAATATTTCAGATACTAGCTTTTGTCCTAGCGCGCGGGGACTGTATAATGAGTATAGATCGGGGCAGGCAATAACAATAAAGGTGTGTTTGGACTAGGGTTCAGAACCGGGAGATCCCAGTACCGAAAGTACCGGGAATTCCCGGTTCTTTTGAGACGTCAAAGAACCGAAATTTCCGGTTCCGACAAACAGTTCCGTTTCCGGAAACCCTAGTTTGGCCATCTATACTGGGTGCGTCTCAAAAGTGGGTCACCCCTATAACTTTTTATTTTCTCAGATAAAAAACCGAGATTTGGTACATTAGTGTATACCATAAATTAAGATTGATTGACGTATTCAATTATTCAAAAAACGGATTTTAAATTTAAATCTAGAGTGGCTTAAATCTGGAGGCTGTGTTAAAAACAGTAATTTTTAATCAAGGAGCATTGGAAAAATAAATTTGATGTTTTTCATGTCTTGTCCTGGCTGGTTAAAAGATGCCCAAATAGCATTTTTAATCATATCTTAATATTTTCAAATGGAACAAGGGTGGTTTTACGAATAATTTGGTACCACACACTTGATGTTGCGAGTCAAATTGTCGTTATGAACCGTATATTACAATTTCAAATAAACCATAAGCAAAAATGTCAAAATATATGTCATTCTATTTACAGTATCATTTTCTATCAAATAAAGTAAAAAAATACCCTGGATGTCATTTGAAAATCAAAAGTTATAGTCATTTCCGGTGAAACAGAAAGTGACCAAAACAATAATGAATGCGTCAATCAATCCTAATTTATGTCATATACTAACATACCAAATCTCGTTTTTTTATCTAAAAAAATACTTCAGTAGCATAATATATGACATTGCACTAGTTGCCTGGTGAACTTGTTAGTACAAATTGATATTGAGATTTTGGTTCCCCCTGTTTAAGCAAAATACTGTAGCGTTTTTTAAACAACTACCACTGCGAACGGCAGCTTTTCATCGGAGAGCAGTCGTGGATAAGGTATTTCACTAGAGAGAAAATTAATCAATAGTAATAAACAAAAGATATATAGATATTGGGCGCCAGGCATGTACAGAGAAAGAAAACACAGTTGTATAATACTTAAAACTAATGACTATATTTATCGTGATGAATTCTGATGGTAAATAGCATTGTACAATTAATATAATTATTATAGTGGTTACTTGTTGAGTAAAACTATGTATGTAAATAATATTAAATACGTTCTATGAAAAGACTATAAAGAAAATACAATGCGTGTAACGTTATACAAAATATAGGAAAAGTAGCATTACTTTATTTAAATTGTTAAATTTATACGGTGTTAAATCAGATGTGTTGCAACCTGTAGATTCTAGAATCTATCTCGTTATTCATCTGTTAGTATAGCGTAATAATAGTGTCTATAGAAAGTAATACTATTACAATGCGTGATATTATGAAATCTAAAATCTAAATCACACTTTTACTACTGCATCGACATAAATATCCTTAATAATCTAACCACTAAATATAGTCTGTACGCTATTGTTTAAAATGTACGTTACTGTTTAAGACTGAAAATATAGAAAATCTAAAACATGAAAACTAGAATGTAAATCTACACTTAGCTGTTCTTTATGTAATCTTGCTTCAAACAGTAGCAGCGTGAGGTGGTCTCGCATCTCTGTACTCAGCCATCCAACACAACCAAAGGGGCCAGAATGAGACACCATAAATTGGTGCAGCCGTAACTAACTAGCTTACAGCTGGGAACGAAGCAGCATGGGACTCAAGCTACATCCACGCTGTGGCACTTATATGTAAGAAAAAATCGTTCTTACTGGGGACACTCGTCCACAGGACATCCGTATACTCTGTTTTTTTTCTCAGGTAAGATTTCGACAGACGATGACAGAAGAAAAGCAGATGAAGTCCCATACCAATCTATTTATTTTACTAAAAAAAGTTTCTAATAATTTTTAAGTTAACTATGGATGGGTTTAAATATAAATTCGTCATGCGTCGTCACTTGCTGTTTTTAACCAGTTTTATTGGTTTATTTCAAAAATGACAGATCGTAATTCAATTTTATTGGTTTGACGGAACGATGAACGACAAACGGACGCCGATGCGTATGAACTCGCCTTTAGATTTTTGACGTTTGTGAAAGTCTTGCCAAATTATAGTAATTATAGGTTATAATTTTGTGACAACTTTTGTCAAATACCCTGCATTTTGGAAGATGATGCATTTTGATTCGTGTTATTACGTGTGTTTTGTGTCTTTTGAAGTCAAGTGGAGGAAAAATCGAGTGAAAATTAACTGTAGAACCTAAAGCACAGTTTATGGTTAATACTCGCTGCCCAGGAGGAAAGTCTTATACAGATACACCAATAAAGTTACTATCAATAAAGTTCGTATACCATCTCGTCGTAGATAAGTGCATCTCGAATATGGTAGAAGGACCATACTGAGTAGCTGTAAAATATTGACGACCTATTATACGATAGGACTATTTACCTATCACACGATAGGTAAATAATGGATTTTAGTACTGCAGAAAAATAATGTCAAAAGGTACTGGTTTAAGAAAATTAAGATTAAAGTTAATTAATCAACCTGTGCCTGTGAGGTATAAAATTTGGTAAGTGTTATTATTAATAAAATAGTTTGTTTTATTTATGTTGTTTTATTTATTCCGGCGGGATATTACAAATTTGTATTTGTACATAAGTTATATTTATAAATATAATCATAAATGCGGGAAGTTTCATAAAGCTTGAAAGTAAGAAATAGTTCTTTTTTATATTTTTTGGTATGTGGTGTCTTGTTTTTGTTTGTTTTGTATTAACACATACCGTTTTTTATTAAATAAAATAACTCGATTACATTTTTTCAGTTTTATACAGTTTTTTTCACAATATTTTGAAGTTACTTGCGTTCCAGTTGTACCAACTTATTTCTTTGTAAAATAAAATAAACTACTTTGAAATTAAAATGACAGACACATCTATCACTGTCAAGGATCTTCTCGTTGAACAGACTATACATAAGATAATGTCCGTACATAAGAAATAGTCCGTACCTTGGACCCTAAAAATATGAAGCTCTTGTTTAAAACCAAACAAGGTCTAATAAACAAAATAAACCTACCTCGAAACACTTCCGAGGGCTCAATAAATAATAAACATGTCCTTTCTTCCATGTGACATTCTGGAGGACACAAGAAAAGGGACGCCAACGTGCCAGTAAAACACAAATACAAGTTGGGACATCCGTAACTCTACCCTAAAAATATTCAATAACAATATCGAATCTATAAAAGGTAATAACTCATCTTTACCTGTAGCCTCGAAATAGCAGCTGATTCAAATTATACAGCAAGACTTAAATAATCACCATTTCCAAAAGCAGGGATACAACAGAGCGTCAAAACAAAGTGAGGTTAAGCACGGAGAGTTGACAGAAGCGATGTTGACAGCGCGCGCCTCCACAGAATAAAACAGGGTTGTGTCGAACGATAACAGGGTTGGCGACCAGGGAACGTAAAAATTACGCGTCAAATAAACTATCAGGCCTGAACGAGAGGGAATCTGGTGATGATAGGCCAGACATCATATATTATATATAAAAAAGACATGTAACGAACTAAAAACGTTACACTGCCCTCCTCCGAAAAGAAACGAAATGGACCTGTAAGATACACTTTCTTTTTCACAAATCTAGAGATGGTAAAAAAAATCAAAAGAAAACTACATCGTAAATTTCAGAATAGACGAAACCCATTTGAAAATTGATCAGGTTCTCAAAAAGGAAACGGCAAACCAAAAAAAAACGACAAGTACCGGTAAGGAATATAAGACGCAGGAGATAAAAAAAACTAAAGGTTTAAAATTACTAAAGTCAGTGGTCACTGGATACGCCGTAAAGTACAGAGATACTCTAGCCATTGTTCTGCTAAAATAAAATAATAAAAAATACGGAGGTACATCTGCTAGTATGGTACGCGAGATTAATAAATACTGCTATAGTTAGGTGTTTTATAACGATATAGGTGTAAATTATCGATAACTCAGGCTAGACAAGTGTAGACTCCAAAATACGCTATGTTCTAAAACAACGCGACTCGACAATAATTAAAGAGAACGTCGATCCGTTCATGGTATCGATACGTCTCGGTTTATAACCTTGGTGATAGTTTCTGAAACCAACATTCTAGTTCATGTCAGATCAACTACGCCAGAGAAGGAACACTACAATACTAGAGCAGATAGAGGTATATAACGGCCGGTAACCTGAAACCAAAACAACCAAACAAATTTAATGTGCAAGTACAAACCTTCTCTCGGACGGAATGAACAATACTAACAACGCCAGACAAGGAATTATATGGAACTAGAGCAGTTAAAGATTGACGACGGTCGGTACTATGAACAGCATTACTTCATCGTAATACCCAATTAATCAACAAAAACAAAATCAAAATGGTCAAATTGTGACCACCCTGTATAGTAAAATTATCAAAATAATCTCAACTAAGTATAACGTTTAAAATTTATATCAAATTTCAAACACCTAGAGATATAAAAAAATCAAAGTCGAAAATTTAATGCTTGTCCACCCTGTATGGGGAAAATACAAACCAAAATGTCTGTATATATAAAGTTTCAAACTTTATCAAATGTCAAACACCTTGAAATTTAAAAAATTTCAAAGTCACAAAAAAATATTGACCACCCTGTATAAGGAAGTCCCAACAATAGATAAACTTTC